GGATAAGCAAGTTGTGCCCAGTTAAGTCTCCAACCAATGCACTCAAAGTTTTCCTTGTCAGTGCGTTGAGTTCTTTCCAAACCTAAGATTTGGGTAATTTATCAGTTCCCATGCCTGTCCAATGTCTGTCAGCTCCTGCCAGCAAAATGAGTGTTGACGTCTCATCTAGGCCTGTAGGGCAGTCCTGCAGACTGTTGTTGAAATACCTACAACAGACTCTGATGTGGGCCTGACTGCCAGCTTTTGCCAGATAGTCAGCTCTCTTGTTACCATTAATGCCAGTATGTCCTGGTGCCCATTGAACAGTAACAATGTTGCCTCTCCCCAGTTGTTGTTGTTGCTCTGGATTTACTGGTCCATCTATGTTCCAACCCTCATTTATGATCATGAGGCATGGATCATGACCAAAAGAAAAGATCCTGGATCCAAGAGGCCAAAATGAGCTTCCTTCATAGGGTGGCCTTTGAGATAAGGCGAGGAGCTCTGTCATCGGGGGAGGGGGGAGTTGGGTGGCGGCTCGGAGTAGAGCCACTGCTCCTCTGTATTGAAAGGAGTTAATCAAGGTGGTTTGAGGATCTGATTAGGATGCCTCCTGGACGCCTCCCTTTAGAGGTTTCCAGTCCAGCCCACTTGTAGGAGACCCAAGGTAGGACCCAGAACCGACTGGAAGGTTTATGTATCTTCTCTGGCCTGGGAATGRCTCACCCAGGATGAGCAGGAAAGTGTCGCTGTGAAGAAGGATGTCTGGGTTTCTCTCCTAGACCTGTTGCCTCTGCAAACCAACTAGGAATAAGCGGCAGAAGATAGAGTTGCTGTATTGTAATCTTTTCTGCAAAATTACTCCTGTGGTTCTTTACTTTATTTTTTGAAGCAAACAGACTTAGGAACACGCAAACATTATTGCTCACCTTACAATGGTGGGCAATAGCAACCATTTTGACAGGGTCCCTTAACTGTTGAGATATTTATCCGTTAAACGCTTCTACAAAGCACAAACTAACACAGATTTCTGACTCAAAAATATTTTTATTGCCTTTTACAATGTGCACAAAGAACATTGTAGAAAATACTTTTTCTTTCACTTACAACTTTCTTTTAAGTGCGTCACTCACCTTTTTTATGTGTTGAAGCATGGAATTGTCCATTTTAAATGCCCCAACATTGCTGCTTTGACCTTTTGCTTTCTTTATGCTTCCCCTCTTCAGAATAAACCAAAAACCTTTTGTCTGTATTGATCATGTACTCAAAGTTTTATGCTTTTTTCTGTGAGACACTTTTACCTTGCTGTCTTTTTTTAAGAGCAGTTTAAGTGCTTGAGTGGACATGTAACATAAACAAAAAATGTTTGTCCGGTTGCTTTTGAGCAGCTTGCTACTTTTGTAAAACTCCGGACTGTAATTGTGTGTTTAGAGCAACTTTTACACATATAACAATATTTTTCTTGACATTTCTTCTCTTCCCTTTATTCCAGGGTCCTAAATATGCTTTGTTTTGGTTCTGAGTGTGGACAAGAAATAGTCAAGTGAATGARATGTGCACCAACGTTTACCTCGGGCCTTTCTTACCCCTCTTCCACTCTCTCTTAGTTAGCACCATTATTGCCACCTAACTCTTGGCAGTTGTAATTGGGGAAGTTATTTTTACCCTTTCTTTCCTCTTTCCTTCCTTCCTTCCCTCCATCCTTGGTGAATTAATTGGAGGGCGCATGATGCCACGGACGTTGGGTAGGTAACGAGTGACGAGGACTGGACCACCGCTAACACCCAGCTCTCTAATTGGCTTTCTGGGAGGGATGAGGGTCATTAGACATASGTGACTGGTTTGCCATCTCAGCACATATATTCATGCTGGTATTATATGCACCCTCTTCATATTGTATCACAGTACATGTAAACATTTTGCCCATTCATGTTGGAATTACAGAGACTTGTTGCTTCGAGATAATCAATTGGGACGATCAAGCAACAATGAGCTTTGAAAGAGGATTCTTTACTCACTGTGACACCCGGGACTCTCATTATCGCATCATGCATCTTCAGAGCTCTGAACATCCTGAACTTTAAAGAGCAATAACTCTATGTAGTTATAATTGATAGGATAGGAAGGCAACTTTTTGCTGCCCTGAAATCTTCACATCAAAAGCATCAGCTCAATTAAAACCTGTCCATACAGTGATTTCCCTACCCTCACACATTATCCTTCTTTTGCTCTTCTGTCATCCTCATCTGAGATCAGGCTGTCTTAATTAGCCCTAACGCTTCATAAGATCTGAGGTTTGTTCGTGATGTGATGACATCGTCCTCTGTCGGCATCATTGACTGTTAAGGACGGGAAACAGTGGTTTTCTTTTCCACCAGTTGTCTAAATTTGTTTGAAGTGGTATAATTGGGGCTAACGATGGTCAATTCAAAGTTTTAACAGCCTCCAATTGAACCAGTCCACATAAAAAGATAAATAAACTAAAAGATCAGGCTGTGATTTCTGCAACATGCAAATATTTAAGTAACTGCCATCTTGTGCTGCAATCTGCAAAAATTTGGCTGCTCTGCAAAGTTTGTCGCTAATTATTCTGCAAGATGCTCCCCTACACGTACGCACACATACACACACACYCTAATAGGCGCTTCTTTTCACTCCAAGACCGTGTATTTCCAAAAAGCACCCAATCAACAAAGATGGTGTCGATTCATTTTCTTCTTTGTTTAGTGTAATTAGTGTAAATTGTTTTTCTGGTGAGGAACCGTTAGCGGAGAAAACACCCGTGATTTATAGCCACCACAGCAGGCCAGTGTTTCCTGCTCCTCATTTGAGCAGCATCCTGTAATACTGATTACAAGTATTGATGCAAATAGCACTTTGTTCAAGGTTTCTTCCCGAAACACACATTTTCTCAATCAACTCTTTAGCAGAGCTGTCTCTGTGTCATTTAAGGGGTTCCTTCCTCTAATTTCTTTGTGTTTTTTTCTCTGTTTTTATCATTCCCATCTTTTGAGTATCAATTGCAGCTTTTTCTTTATGCCTCTTTGGCTTAGTATAGTGTGTATTGTACACTTTTCATTTGTGTGTTTTTGCTCTGTATAAACTTTTTTTGTCCTTTGTTTTTCTGCGTTGTGGAGAGCACCTTATGAATGCTTGGACAGATTTTAATGAAACTCTGAAAAGTCCATCTGCATCAGATTAACTTTTGGTGTCACCCAAATACAAAATGGCCACCAATGCCAAGAAACATTGGCAAGCTTAAAAGTGGCTCCAGCTCAACTAATCTTGCAGATTCCGAGCTAAAATTTGGTTGTCCGTTAGCTGAGTACATATGCTGAGTACATATGTCCCCAACATATACTTTGAGTGCTACTCATTTGCACACTTTTTGCTTAAAACAAGCTTCAGCTTTTGGTGTCCACCCTACTTGTCTGTTAGCACCATTTCTCAGAAACTAGCGTAGAAGTTTAATAAAACTTTCAGAAAGTCATTGAATATCCATTAACAACTTATCAACATTTAGAGTCAAGTCAAATGAAGATGGCCATGACAGCTACATGATCTAAGCCATCACAGAAATAGCTGCAACTTGATCAGTTTTACAGATATTTATTTGAGTATCTGGCAGATATAGCAAAATGTCATGAAAATGCATGAAAACGTGCAAATCTTTATTAGGGTTTGACCAAAATGGCTATAATTGTGTAAGGGGATGAATGACATGCATTCTTCCAAGAAATGCTTGTTTTAAAATTGTTTAATAGTAACATTGTCATCCAATAACAAAAAAATTCCATTAATGGTAGCACCATTCATGTTTTGTCCCTTTATTTTTCAGTACTATTATGGTACCGAAAAAAAAACAACAACTAGTTTTTAGAGAACCTTTAGCCAAGCCTATCATGTTTTTATATTTTTTTCTCTGCATTTTAATATGTGGAGGTTCTTGCTATAGTCGCACAATGTAGYTATTGCAATGTTTTTGTCCAAACTGAGATTTGTTTATAATTTTTTCAAGTGGTTGAAAAAGAATTATCCAGAACAGTGTAGACAGGGTTTTAATTTAGACCCTTTGCCACCTTGAATGGTTTAACTGCTGGTTTTCATTGATTCATTTCAAATGGTCTTGTTTTTATTTGAAGACATCAAATTTCAATTGGAGATTACCAAAGGGACGTTSTTTGCCCAAATGTGCTATAGAAAATGCCTCTAAGCTGACGTGAGTGGTGACGGTAAACAGAACAATGGTGGGGCGCAGCATAAAGTAGGGTTACCATTGATTTAAGGCAAACTGAGTCTTCATCTTTAACCCTTACTTTATGGAAATGGGCAACGGGAAATGTTGCAGTTGAAAGCCTGAGTTTGTTTTGATTCCCTAGATACAGTTTTGGATTTTATAGAGTTTTTGCTGTTATGCACAAGTGCTCACAAATATATTTTCGACTCATGAACACAAAAAACAAACTCCCCCTCTTTAAGTTATCCAGACGTCACATTCAGGCTGGGTTTGTGCGTCAGCTGGGAGAAGAAAAGGCCAGTGAAAGTTCAGTGTGCTGTTTTTTATTTTACAGCTCTTTGTAACACAAATTGCTTTATTTATATAAAGCCACTTCTTTGCACACACACACCCACACCCCCACACCCACACCCACACACACACCCACACCCCCACACACACACACACACACACACACACACACACACACGTGTGTGTTTAAAAAAACAGCTAAAGAATCATTAACTTCTCTGCACTAACCCTTCCAGCTTACACACTATTAATCTGAACATATGGAAACAATTACACAAATTAGCGCATGCTGCAACTGACTCAGCACTAATTTTACAACCTAACAATGGTTGTTAATTTACACAAATCTGAGGTTATTAGCTACACAACAACAGGCTTTGAAAGATGATTTTTTTTTAATTCCCAAGCATGGCAACTAGAAATCATTGAGTCTGCAACTCTTGCTTTCTACTTCCTGTTCCTGTTTGTGTTTGTTTGTTGGTGTGACACTTACAGCAGCATGAGTTCGATGCACTGGGTGAGGTGGTCCCAGGAGTACCCTGTCAGCAGATGCAGAGCAGTCGTCCAGCTTGGGGAAATCTGAAGGCAAATACGAGAAGCTGCCACGCACGCAGCAGCGACCTGGGACGGCCTGAAGTTCAGGAAGGCGTGATCTACGAGGACAAAAATCATTCCGTTCCAGTTAAAGGAGACCAATTATGGGTCCTAGAAATGTTTATGGTATGTCTGTGGGCTATCCAGACCATGTTCATTCAATTTAATGCACAAAATAATTCTCAGATAATAAAATTTCCCATTTTCTAGTTCTGCCTGCTCTGACTTCAGTTCAGAAGNCACACACACACACACACACACACACACACACACACAAAGACCAACACATACAAAAATGAAAACAATATGGTATCTGAATGACTCTTTGAACATCTCAGTTGTCTTTACAAGTTTACCCTGAAAAAAAAAACTGAAAGGTTTTATTGTGATAACTTCAACTCCTGAGGGTTCTTTATATGGACAAAATCAATCGAGTGAGACACAAATTAAGAATTTTACACAGAAAATTGAGACTAAAGCAACAGAGAATAGATTCTACTCTGTGCATTATCAAAAGTGTGCTAAATGAAAATAAATTTGTAAGAAATTCTCCTTTTTTAAAGAAGTTAAAACAAATTAAGATGAACACAATGTGGAGTTGTAAAACTAAATGGTAGGGGGAAGTGTCGCCCCTTGAAGAATCCCACTTCAATTAAACCTAGTAATCTTTCCAATARAGTTCTCAAGAATGTTGTTTTTTATGATTAGGCTTAAAATAATCTCTCCTTTTGTGTTTTGTCTGTCTGTAGGACTACAGAGCAGGTCTTGGTATTACTGAGGTGGACCTGACTGCTGCCAGTGTCAAAGACATGGACCGCAAGGGCTTTGAAATCAACACGCCCTTCAAAGTTTTCTGGTTTGTCTGCTCTTTATTTGCATTTGTGCATATACATTTAACCATTTTCATGTTATTTCCTTACCCCTTTTACCATAAAGAAATGCTACGTGCGTTAGAAAGGAAATGTCTCTCAATCTGTTTATTACTGTTCAGCATCCCAAAAGCTTTACTCTATTACTTTTTCTTCGTACTAAGTCTTGGCATCTCTTCAGTACAGACCAGAGTAATAGTTTTATGGGGTTTATAGTCATATTCCTCCACAGTTGTTAAAACTTCARTGRATGAAGCATAGMATGTCGAGCCTTCCATGTTTCTCAGCTGGAAAATCCTCTCACATTTGAAAATGTGCCTMTGCACATGCTTTGGACTCTTATACCTGTGCATACTCTGTGAAGTTTGAACTTGTATGAAACAGCAAGTCTCTGAGCTGCAACTGTCAAAAAAAATGAGTGTTTGGTTCACTCTCCTCACACAAATGCATATACTTCTCCAACAAAGCAGCAGTTCTTGTGGACGTACAGAAACAATGGTGGATGTGTTGCTCCGGATGTGCAGCCTGCTGATGTCTTGCAGTAAAGAGGAGTTGTTTCTAGTGTTTCAGGCTTACAGTATGTGGAAAAATGTTTGCATCAGTTTGTGTTGATATGTTAAAGTAAGCCTCTGTTTCAGCTGATGTAAAACAGATTGTACGCAATGACCCCAGTATGGATTGCTTAACGTGGGCATACCATGAATTAAGAGGATTCCTTTTTACATTTAAATCGTTCAGTTATATGTAAAACAGAACTGCAATGCTTTGGTCTGAATTCCCTGTTACAGTATTGTAGATCCACAAGCCCCTTTTTCACCCATCTTCTGAGGTGTGTCTTGAAGCAGCAATCTTTGGTGCCGTCTCTTTAAATGCCAATGAGGTACTTGAAACTTCACACCACAACCCCCCCAGGTCACAGATTTTGCATATTAACCCCCACCCCCAAAACTAACTAACCAACCAACCAACCAACCAACCAACCAACCAACCAACCAACCAACCAACCAACCAACCAACCAACCAACCAACCAACCAACCAGCTGGCTAAAAATATTGCAAACAAACAAATCAAGAAGGCTTGAGAACCTTTGATCAAAACCATTTCAAAACATTGCAAGAAAACCCAACTGCTTGGAAGTAAATTATAAAGAAATGAAAAAAGACTCAAGACTTAACCCTTTACTGTACCACTTTGTTTACACAACTTGACCTTTTATTGTAAGTGTTCATCCTTGTTTGCTTTGTAATAAACCTAAATGTGAATGCAACAATTTATTGATCTACTCCCGAACTAGCAGAACGGCACAATCATTAAAGACCAATCCATGTGCTGACAATGCAAATAACAGTGTACTCCATATTCTGTCCTTTGGAGGCTGGGGGAAGGGTGGGGGTGGGGGTAAAAATATTGAGCAGCCGTGTCAAAAAAAGTTGAGATGCCGCTATCTAGCAAGACAAAAGAGAATCCTAAGTTTGCTTTTCCTCTATCGATTAGCTATCCTGTCAAAGCTCTTTCAGAAAAAAATTGTATGAATCAACGTAGCTCATTGCACAACTCACACACTTATCGATCCGTGCACTGTCCGCAGTACATGACAACTGTGTCCTGTACAAAAACCACTAATTATTGTTCAGGGGTGTTTTTTTAAGCATCCCCAGGGATCTTTGTGCAGGCATCTCTGCGTCTGTAGGGCTTAAAGCCTTTCAGGTGGCTTCTGTCCCCGAGGGCCTACAATCAATGAACACTCAGCTTGTTGGTGCTGTATTGGCCCGTTTAAAATACAAGCATGACAGCTGCCCTGAAAAAAAAAAACTGCTTGTTTATGTGTGTGCACTAGTTCATGTTTTCCCTTTTTTTCCATTTTTGCCATGAGTAAAGACCCCCACCCCCACCCCCYTTCTTCTAGTCGTGCGTCCTGTGTCCGATCGATCTGTTTGTGGCAGCTCCCTGTAATGGTCCCCTCGTTCGGCTCCTTCGTTAACAAACCAGTAGTAATTGCTCCAAAAGACGAGAGGGGAAGTGAGAAAAAAATTTACAATGAGCTCACGGCTTCAGAATAGTTTTGATAAGGTCATCGCTAAAAGGGTTTTATTCTGAGTGTGTTTGTGGATCAAATCGATTGGCGGCCCTGGGAGCGTTCTCCAACCTGCTCAAGGTGGGGATTAGCGAGAAACTCATCTAATCACTTTAAGCTGTGGAGACTCACTTTGGCTTTTCCATTGTTTTGCTGGCGTTAAATGGACAGAGCATTCAGTCCGTTGTGCTGGAGACAATAGCCGGCTTTTATGAGTACAGAGAATGACAATGAGGCTCAGAGGGGATGGGAAAATATACCAAGCAAAGGCATTCGACTTTGGAGGAAGAGAAAAACTTTGTGCTCTTGTTCAGACAACCCTGCTAGGAAAGTATAGCTGCAGATAAAAGGCCAACTGCTGGGTATCTTGGAACAGGAAAAAATAAGTTTATGTGGTTTTTGCATTTTGCTGATGTGTGTTGAAATGTTTGGACAGGTTCTAAACCTTCTGTCGACTAGGGATATTATTTGAAGGAATATCTTTGGACAAAAACTTGTCATCTAAACCCTCTAATTTATACACAAATGTTTGGATAAACCAACCGTTTTAATAGATACTTAATAGATACTACATGTGCAGAATGTATTAAAAATGTATTGTCATGACAGTGTCACTGCATGGAAAATAAACTGCTTGAACTGCAATAAATCATAGTCACTTATAATACAAGTGCTAGATACCCATACTTWGGACAATGATAACAGATTTGGCCCATTAAACGAGCTCTCACTGTTTCAGATAATAATCAGATTAGACCATAGAGGCTCAGATACTAAAGCATGTGAAGAATGTTGTGACAGCAGAAGACAAAGAAAAATGAGGAGAATGCCCATTTATCTAATCCATTATTGTCATTGTAAGGTTCAGTTATAATATTGCAATCAGTGGCAGCTGGTTGTGAAATTTGTAGGGTGGGCTAGCAGTTATTTAATATGTAGGAGTATAATAAAACCTCCTGTGTCTTCTCTAAACAGCAAACACAGGAAGCAGAAAAGATATTTGTTAACTACACTCACTGTTAGCCAGTCCTTTATGCTAAAACCAGGTCACAGAAAAACTTCTGGTTTGTTGCTTTTCCTTTTTCTGGATTTGAATATAGTTTGGTCAAGCCACCCCAAATTCTTCACTTCCCAGTTTTGGTCTGACGTTACATAATCCACCTCATTTATGTTAAACTTGCTCAMCATTGTACCTACTCAGTCTATCCCAAACCACAGCCACATACACTAGTGCTTGAGGGTTGGTATTGTACATCCACCCTTGTTGGCTGAATCCTGTAGCTTTGGGTTCCAATGAGCTTCAAACCAATGGAGCGGGACAAGACGTCTGTCAATCATTCTGTAACACAAATGTACCACAGAACGGGGCTGTCAAAAGTTAGCCCTTTGAAAAGACTTTGGGTTTTCTCTAGACTTTTTGAAACTGGTTTTGTTGTAAATTTCACACAAAGTTTATTTAGTTTTTAATGWAAATGCCAGGGAGGGCTTAGCCCTAACATGCAGATATAGTTTATGGTCAATGTTGGCTTTAAAGAAGCCTATTTTGAGACATTAATACAGGCCTATTCAACTAAATTTCTCAGGCGGCCACGCCAGGTTACTATGGAGACCAGCAGTTCTCTGCTTTTTAATTTTCTTTTTTTGTTGTTGCATTGACTCCTAATTTTAAAGCTTACCATTTAAAGTAAAACAATAAAAAGCTTTGAGTTTGATGTGTCATACAGTGCAAAAAACAACATCTAAGCAATAGATGATGTAATTGAAAATTTTGGATTTTTAGTTTATTTTTTAACAAATACTTTCGCAGAAGCAGAGACAGAAAAACAAACCACTCTTGACAGTGAGAACAGTCTAAGGTAMCAGGTCATGTAGAGCAAGGCCAAAATCCTCAACTGGTATCTTCATTATAAAATATTTTAAAAAGTTTAAAAAGTCATATTGGGCTATTGTTTTCAACCAAGTTGAACTGTGAACAGTATCCTACAGGCCTTTTGTCAAACAAAAAATAAACTAAAAGAAAGTTTATTATGCAACAGTTTTCAAGTGCCTGACTTCCCAAACTGTACAGTTCTGTCATAAAAAAACAAATACATTGATTTGCTAAGATTTTTCTTTTCTGGGTTTGTTTTTCACTTTTAGATTGTGTTCAGCTTTGGTAATATTCCACATAAGCACAGCTCTGTAATAGTAGGTTATGATTCACTTGCGGATAATAGAATCCTGTTGGTGGTCTTTCTGATTGAAAAATATATTTTCAGACAATATATGAGAGTATTTGGATGCTTTCAAATGATTGCAAATGGTTCATGAAAATGGCATTATTTACCCGTTGGGTGTCAAGCAGCTTTATGTCTAATCCATAATGTATWATGCCAGTGCTGGTACCAGGTGTCACTTCAAGTCTTAACACTCAGCAGTGTCTTCATATTCTCTCCTTGCTGCCGCTCTGTTCCTTGGAGCTTTGGGGATGTGGTGCTGTAGTTGAGCCAGCAGTGTGAGCAGCTGTCTCTTTGGATGGGCCCTGGGCAGAGATTGGTGGGCACAGTGCGGCTGAACCCAATCAGCCTATTGATCTTTGTTGGGTTGCCTGGGCGAGGCCAGCCTAGTGCACATCCTCCYCTCTAGGCATAAAACTCCCCCCTTCCTCCTCTTCTACCCCACAACCCCCATTTCTTCTTATGTTACTCTGGTTGCCAGGTTACTATGGAGACCAGCAGTCCAATATCTCTTTACTAAGTGCCTATTTGAGTTAGGTTAGGGTGCTGCTTGTCTCTTTCTTCTCATTGCTATATCTTTGTTTGTCTCTCTTGTTCTTGCTGTCAATTGCTTTGTCCACTCTTGTTGCTGTATAAGCTCACACAATGACAGCAACACTGAGATTACTTGTTTCATGAATAGCATACTGCATGTATTTACTGATCTTTTATTATATTCAGCTACTTTGTCAAATGACAGCCAGCGAGAAGGTTTTTCTTTGGTCTCCTAAAGGTAACCATCYGTTTGTAGTTACAAAACAGGGTTAGGGATTTACATGGTCATGAAGCTGATTCTCAGGTAAACTGCTTTGTACTGCTTTGTTTTTTTACTCCAACAAACCAGATTCAGTTATTGAATTACTTCTTCCAAGTTCTGCAGAAGCCTGATAATCACCCATTCATTCAAATCAGGTGTGTTGCAGCAGAGAAAAAAGTAAAACATGCAGGGCTGCGACCCTTGAGGACCAGGATTGCCCAACCCCTGGGTTAGAATCTACACCACCATAAAAGATGGCAGTTAAAATTTTCCACTGCTGAAGGAGTCACTCTTTTAATGAGCCAAAACACCAGCAATAGTCACTAATATACAGTATTGCCAAAAGAATTTGCTCACCTATCCAAATGACTGTGCACCGGTGCACAAAARAAGGTCCATAAAGACATGGCTGGCAGAGTCTGGTGTGGATGAACTTGACTGGCCTGCAGAGAGTCTTGACCTTAGCCCGATAGAACACCTTTGAGATTAATTAGAGCAGAGACTGAGAGCCAGGCCTTTTGTCCAACATCAGTTTGTGACCTCACAAATGTTCTTCTGGAAGAATGGTCGAAAATCCCCATAAATGCACTCCTAAACCTTGTGGACAGCCTTCCCAGAAGAGTTGAAGCTGTTGTAGCTGCAAATGGTGGACCAACTTCATATTGAACCCAATGGATAAGGAATGGGGTGTTACTTAAGCTCATGTGTGAGTCAATGCAGGTAAGCGAATACTTTTGGCAATATAGTATACTTTTATGTAAACAGACGCTATTGTGTATCAATATGCCTATAAAACTAATTGTCTAGCTAACAATAGACTTTATTGTAATGCTTGAAGATTGAAAAAAATAAAAACCACAATACGCCAAACTAAACATTACAGTGATTTTGTTGGTAAAATAACCACCATTCAGAAATGTGATGCTGTTTCTGGTATTATGAAATGCACCCCAGAAAATCCTCCATTTGATGGTGCTATATAGATCCACAATTTTAGAGTACTGCAACTTTCCCTGGTGTCAACTCAATAATTGTACGGTTAGGGGGTTAAAGGGATAGAGTGAAGTGAGATTTGGCTGAAACACCAAACAGTAAAACTTAAATTTGGACTGTCTGCTTATACAGATGGGCTTCTAGACTGATGATAATTCAGTCATGCAACAACTAGGGGTTCGACAATACATTGATCCACACTGCTATATCCATTAAATCTTTAATGATTCYATTACATTGAGGCACAATGAAAACATTGATCCATATTACCCATATTGCCAACATATGCCTGGTGTGGATCAATGCCATATGCCATGGGCATGATATCCAATCATATTAACCGCAGACTTGTAAATTGACTTGAATTGAAATTGTACCATGACAGACTTTGTTATATCGAGAAACATTATATCTTCACAAAGTGATGTATTGTATCCTAATAAAGGTGCTGATTTGCACCCCTAGCAACAACTGCCCTTTAATGAAGAAACATGTGACTGACACAATGAGGTCTCTTCTTCCGTATTGTTGTGTAACCATCAATCAATGGTATTCATTTGAAAAATAGTTTTGACCAATTTATTATACAATGATCTGAAATAAAAAATACCACATTTTCTTGCACGTTATATTCGCTCCAGTGTCAATCGAGCACCATTTTCATTCCCAAACCTATTCAATTCCTCTCCTTGGTAAATTTAGTGACAGCCCTCTTGTTCTTGATAGAATTCTTGTTAGACATGATTTCTTCTATCAAAGCTCTGAATTGGTTGTGTTTGTACACAATGACCATGACCATTTTGCAACTTTCCCGAGCCTAATGTTGAAATAATATCCTGGTGAAAAACTATCCTTCATTAGAACTTTATAGATTGTCGAGTTGCAAGCTGAGACATTGATTTACTTGCACCCCGTTTCCATTGCTTCTATTAATTTCACCAAATCCATTGCAATCTCACATAGACACTTAGCAACGCCACCCCCCGACAAGCCACTCCAAATACTGCACACCCTTATCATGCTGCCAAGCTCTACTATGTTGTTTAATTGCTCTCTCAAATCAAATCAATAGCAGTGAGCTATGWGTTGGGGGGTCGGGAATAAAAAAATGTGATTGTTGCAGCTTTGTGGCAGACTCAGAACGGGAGAAGGAGCAGTGGATTGAAGCGGTCCAGGAATCGATTGTRGAGATACTCTCCGACTATGAAGTGGCTGAAAAGATCTGGTTCAACAAGGCCAACAGGAGCTGCGCCGACTGTTACGCCTCGCAGCCGGAGTGGGCGTCGGTCAATCTGGGCATGGTCATCTGTAAGAAATGTGCAGGTAAAAAGCTACAACATTATGACCACTTAATTGTGCCCCTTTTTTCTTTGTCCCCAAAGCAGTCTGTTTGGGCATTGCTATCGAATCTTGTAGACCTCACAGAGTCTGCTTYGGTTTTTGGGATCAAGCCAACACAGATCATGTATAAGATTTTGTAAATCCCTTTAAGTTTAGAAATAACCTTCATAGATGGGACTTGTTTTCCTGTACATTTAATAGATGCTCTTTTGGATTGAAATCTGTATAGTTTAAATGCAAAGTCAACATCTCAAACCACTTAAGAGTCAATTTTTAGAATGTGRCAGGTGGCAATATGGATTGTGGTGTATATTTCTTTCTTTACTTAATGGCGTGTTTGTCAACCATGGTACTCACTTCACAAGCTTATTTTTTTAAGTGCACATTTTTTTATTTATTTGAAGATGATAGAAATAGCATTCCATATGCTCCTGGCTTTTATGTACTTTCAGGTGTAGACGAGCACATGCAGCATGCAGGTGCACATGCACATAAACAAGATGTACATTTAGTAGACTCGGTGTACTTAAGTAAAAACTCGCCTACATAACAGCTTTGTGTGAACAAAGGTGAGCAACCTGTCATAACACTTTTATGCGTAGATAGATATTAAAACCGGTTCTTCATTTGCAGCCATTTGCATATAGGTAACGAGCATTAGAGTTAGAGGAATAAAGGAACAAAAGAAATACTTTTGCCTGCATGGAATTTCTTCACTTGTTTGCCTTTTTTTTAAACAAATCAATACGTATTAATCACATACGTATTAGATGATTCTATACTTAACACAGAAAGTAAAGAAACTTGTGTTTGGTAGATTTTTTTTGTTGTAACAATGCTTCTTGGCATTAAATCTTATACTGGCACCTGATTGGCAGCACCTGGGGGACACCAGGAGCTCAAATCAAGTGTCAGTAGCAACAGCAAAATTAGCTGTTTAACAAAGGCATGGATGGTTTTGCAAATTTTTCATGTGCCCAACCTATATTCTCAGCTCTGCTGCTCATCCCACAAATGCATGTTCCTTAAAAATGTGGCACCAAATTAACAGGCTTTCCAACACTATAAGATTTATTGCCATGAAGCGATGTTGAAACACATAAATAATTCACCAAGCACAACTGTTTTTCTTTTTGTGCTAAMTTTATTTGAATTCACGTATTTGTTGGTTGGATGAAGGAGGTACAGTTTGTTAGCACTCTCTGCTTGGCTTTTTTAATGTTCTCTTTGTGCACTCCATGTTCTCTGTTTTCCTCTGCCAATTTATTTGACCATATCTTTGGAGAGCTGAAGGAAGWGGGTGATGCGTATTTAAAATAACTGCTTGACAACAGTTTTAGTCGTTTTATTGGTGACGATTGGATCGTCTTCAGTTCTCTTGCAATGCTCATTGAACCAAGTATATTTCTGCTGTTTCATGTCCTGCCAGATCATATCAAATTTGTGAAGTGGAAATATTCAAAGATCTAAACCAGTGGTCTACAACTTTTATAAAAAAAAATTCTTCTCCTTGGCTCAGTAATACAATGTGCTTGGAGCCACAAAACGTACTATCACTGTGATTATCAACTAGTCGCCCACYAGCTGCTTTGAGTTTGTTAAAGTGGGATGAATTTTCTGCCAGTGGGGGTGACATTATAAAACTAGAAATATGTAGTGAATTTGAACATCTAACATTATTTAAACAAAACATATTCATGTAGAAAAAATATATTGTTTATACCATCCGTCCATCCGTCCATTTTCTTCCTCTTATCCAGGGTCAGGTCACGGGGGCAGCAGCCTAAGCAGAGAGACCCAGACTTACCTCTCCCAATTGCAATTGGTCTATTCCAAAAAATTCCATATGGATTTGAGAAAAATTATRATACTGGAAGCTGGATTATTTAAGTGACCAAAAAACTACTAGCATGATCTAGTCAACATGTTTCATTCATTGTAATAGGACTTTCATACACCTTTGTGAACAAATTAACAAAAAAGAAAAAATAGTTATGCTTGTATTCCAAACATATAGTTTAGTTCTACACCACAATCAACTTTGTTACCTTCAGTTGCTATGAATAAGCTGTATATATCAAAAATAAATTTGACTTTGCATCATAGTCTATCCAAAGCCTTGAAATTGGCCTCTGCCTCTTTAAGAACCTACTACCGTTTCCGACACTCCCACTTCAGCAAATTTTCACAGCTATGCTTTGGGGGAGGGTTTCTCTGTGTGGCGGGAGCTCAGTTGGGGACTGAGCTCCAGGGAAGAGCTTTGTACAAGTAAGTGGAGCTTTGTACCAGCATGCGTTTAGACAGCWCCACATGGCTACAGGAGATTCGAGGATTTCTCAAACATGCATGAATGAGTCAAAGGACGCTGGGTATGTTTTTGAGGAGGGAATGACATTATAACATGATATACAGCTGAAAAAAGTAGTTTTTACATAACAACCATTGCAACAGTTGTTATTTGAATGTTAGTTGTGAAGAACCTATTGTAGAGCAAAATATGAGCACCATGACTCGTGTGAAAAGTTGAGAGTAAGGCTCAACAGCATACTAAATTGAAAAGGCACGTGTGTTAGGACCCAACTCCTCTTTCTGTGTGTGAGGTCTGACGGCTGTGCAAGTATGTAATCTGACCCTCAGGCTCATCTGGAATCAGATCTCAGGTGATAAGCCACTCATGGGAGTTGGTATCCGACCCTCTGGACTCTGTAATCTATTTGGCGAGGCTTCATAGCTCAGATGAAATGACAACAAAGATTACACCACGAGTGTGAAAAACTCTTGAGGTCCCAGACTGGTGCTTGACCTGCTAAACACGATCCGACAGAGTCGCAGTAGACACGTCCTTCTTTCACCTCAGGATTTCTCCCAGTCATACATAATTCGGCTCCTCACCTCACCCATGTAATTGGTACGCATCAGATATCCAACATCTCCTTTCAAATGCCCCTAAATGATTTCATTTGCAGCGGTGTTTAATATTACATTTTGTCGACACYCTGAGAGCAAGAGGGTGAATATTTGCAATAAGGAAGCAGCCCTGCTCTCTTATGAAATTGGGCCATAATCCATTTTGAATACCAATACTTTTGCTTTTCATTAGCCCCTCTTACTTATTTTTGTCATGGATAATAAAAAGAAAAGAGGAGTTAGAGGTAAGAAGTAATGAGTGGGCTAATGGTAAAAACTATCCTAGACTGGTTTCCCCTCTTATTTATGCCAAGACAGAATTAATTTTACTGGCGTGTCACTGAGGAGTTTTGTACAGGACTCTTTCATCTCAGTTTGCAAATGCAGTATTACACAAATAATTGTCCATGTTTATATATGGTGGCAATTTACATGTTTGCAGGAAGTAAATTGATTGCACTGTGTAACGGCAACAGAAAAATGACACTACCTGATTATTTTCTGATCAGCCTCCTTTTCGCTGTGCAGTTCTGTCTGTGTGAAATCTGCCTGATTAATGAAGGCATGATTCACAGCAGAAAGAAGGTGTGTATGGTACAGGGTGGGGGGGGGAAAACTTTACTTTGAGTGTTTTCACAAGAAGTTGTGTATCTATCTGAACTACCACTTTATAAAAATAATATTATACTAAATTTGTTTGGCTTGGAAATGCACGATTGGTCACACTGGACAATGTAGGTAGAGACAAAAAAAGTCAATGGATAGAGCTTAAAACAACTAAGAGAGTAGCCATTTTTTCATCAATGTTTTTATATGCATTTTGAAGCAGCCTGGCCCTTGCCTTCCTACGCAGTTCRGCTCAATTCTAGTTTCCCTTCACTGCTCCGTCTGGGATTTCTCCCATAGACAAGGATTTCYCTGGCAGATTTTTAGCCGYYCCAATCAGAGAAAAGAAKGTTGATTTTCTGCTCAGTGTCTGCTTGWAGTTTATTTTACKTYGGCCAATCAGCAAACAGAAGYCAGAGTTTAGAACGACGTCGATTTTCAGCGCAGTGTCGGCTAGTTAGTTAGCAGTGGCAGTGGAGGAAGTGAATGAAGCCAGTCCGTGTTGATAAGGCTTCCAAATTAAATAAAATTGTCTGACAAAGCAGCAGCTCTCATTTACAGRKGTCTCATTCGGCTTGGTACTTTTCTCCTCTCAGTAGGGTTGTTAACAGCGCACATGATTTCCAGTTAGCTTCTTAGCTTAGCCTCCTTCACAGTGACGTAGACACACACACACACACACACATTTCAGCAGAGGCCACGCCTCCAGCAAGAATCGCTTCTCTATAGCAGCGAGTCCAGACCCTCGTACGAAGCAAAGTGAAGGACAAGGYTCTGGTTTTTACCAGGCTAATTTTGAAGTATTGCATTAGAAAAAGTTGTTGGAAAAGGCAACGTTCGAAAATATTTTCAAACTCGATTTCTCAAAAAAGTTTTTATGCTAGCRTGAGGTGTAGACACGGCTAAAACATGCTGGGCAGTGGGTCACGAGAAACAGGGTTAAAGACCTCTGCACTAAATTGTTGCCAAAAAATTTGTACAAATATCACAATTTTTTTGCAGTTGAGTATGAATTCAAATGTGTTGCAATTTTCTTTTCTGTGTAAGTATTGTTAACAGTTGCAGTCCAGTAAAATATCATGTTACCTCCTATAACATGTAGTCATTTCACTCCTTTTTGTTAAAAAAATGTCCAGTAGTTCAGTAGAAATGATCACTCTCATTTATTAGAGGTAATCATTTTAGACACGTGTCAAATTCAAATGTACTTCTCAGTATTTACCAGAGGATGTGTTAAAGCATTGTTTTATYCAGGAAATACCATGTAGAGCTCCGTTATTGCTTGGTAGTGGTGCTCAGCTGTAGCCATAAGATGAGGTTTTTAATTTAGTCCAAGTTAAACATAAAACGTCAAAGTTAAATACAACTGGCCCTTTGAGAGCCTCCACAGCACTCACGTGGCCCTCAGTGAAAGTAGATTTGACGCCCCTGTTTTAAGGGGTGCCTCAATTTTACAATCATTTCTTTTCTTGACTTCTATTACAAGATATAAATGTTTGTCCTTGCCCTCCTAACTGGTTCTTTACTTTCTATTTTCCCCTAGTAACTACATTTCATCATTATTTTTTAGCTCCATTTCCACCATCTTAACACGACTGCCTGAGAGAAGATGGGGTTACTTGGAAGAACTTAAGGCTGCTACCCACAAATGTAATTGCAATAAACTTTTTAAACCAGGAGGCAACTTGTAGATGTGTCGTCGGACAACAGTTTCCACAGTAACGTAAAACAGCCGAGCTCATTGTCCTGCTCTGACTCGTCCCCGAATGAGAAGAAAACACCACTTTAGTACAAAGGGCTGGTAAAGTGCTCCAAGAACTGTCGCCGGAGTCACCAGGAAACTTTTTAATTGGAGGTGAAATCCTTGGTGGGTTCAGTTTATTTTATTTTATTTTTCTTATAAAAGCTGGTGGGGTGGTACTGGGCTTTTTTTGTGTGTGTTGTTGTGGTTCCAGTGGGAAAGACTAGGACATTTCCAGTGAGCTATTTATATGTGCAGGTCTTACTGCGTACCCTGAGGCATGTGCACTATTTTTTTCAGCTTCATTAACTTTTACACAAGTGAAAATGGTCCTATGGTGTGGAATGGCTGAGTGGATGGGGCACGTACTGTTGCTTTGCAGCAAGCATTTTACTGTGAAAGGTTTCCTGCACAAATGAATGAGATAAAGTCTGTCTTCTTTATTTTATAGGCATMGTAGCAATAAAAATCATAATTTTAAGAATATTACATATTTGGATAAATTTGTGTAGACCCCAGTGTTTACATTTAGTTTGCTGAAGTCCCAATAAAACATGAAAATAGAAATAATGCCTCATCTGTATTAGAATGCATACCTGTCCTGTAAAAAAAGTATAACTGTAGCAAAATAACTTCTCTCCTTTGAGGTTTTACTGGACAAATAAACAAAAAGTTTAAATACTTCTTCTYCATAAAGAAGTATTCTACAGTACTGCAGCTCACTGTCTGACCCATCTGTGAGCAGAGAACCACCCACTAGGAACCAGCTTAGGGATGACATCACATGCAAAACAGGCATACGCACATATCAATTTATGGATTACAGACAGAGAAAATCTTACAGATTATTTTTCAAAAACTTTGGTTCGAATTTATTTAAGCCTCAGAGCTGGCAGTCTCCCTCCGTGCTCTGCAGATGCTGCTGTTTCCACCCCCTCCTCCCCTTCCCACTGCCAACAGTCCAACACCCTCCCTTCATTACAGGTAAATGTAAATGTTGGGAGTGTTTGAAATTTATGGGTAGGCCATCTTATTCCTTGCAATGGTCAAGTCAATTTAAATACTTGTCTATTGGTCCCATGACCAACAATGAAACTTGCAGGGTGGGCGTATAGATCAATACTATCGATACCAAGATGGATATCTGTATTGGATTGATATTAGCGTGATAAGATCAATTATTTTGTTTACACTTTATTTTCACTACTGGCTTTATTTTTCACAAATAAGGTCAGTAACACCAAGTCTCCAAATACTGGTATGTGTGGGTGGGTTTGTTGGAAGACTGTTGGAAACTGATGTGTACCACAAACCCACCCACATAGATCATTACTTGTGATTTGACTCCCATCACCCACTAGAGCACACATCAGGAGTCATCAGGACTCTATTACAGAGCAGACAGCTTCCCAACAAAGTCAAGAGCCAGGGAGAAGGAGAAGTCCCACACAAGACAGGTCCTGGACCAATTGGGCTTTCCCCAAACACAAACAGGATTCCAGGCAGCCACCAGGTGAAAAGGAAGACCCCAAACCCAGACCAGTAGTCTTTCCGTATATTGTGGGAGTTTCAGAGGAACTCAGACATTTATTTTCTTAACATGACGTCCCAGTGGCTTTCAAACCTCAAAACGTTTTATGGTAAAGACTGGTTCACCTCAAAGATCCGGTGCCCTGGCACAAACGGAGTAATGTTGTGTATTCTGTTAAGTGCCAAGAGGACTGTGACCAGTTATGCATTGAGAAACAAAGCAGCCACTGTTAAAGTTTTTTAGGATGTCTGGTGTCAAATAGACAAAAAAAAATACAACACTAGATGTTTGTGTGTCTGGGATATTATTCTGTGTAACATTTGTGCACCTAATTTGTCCAAATATTTAAATTYGCGAAATGAGACTAACCTAGGGAGAAATTTAGAGAAATCTAATTTAGTTGAAGATGTTTGCTTGGTTCTGCCTTTGTGCAGACATGATARCACACCAGTTACAAGAACTAATGGAAACCACAAGGACTAGTTATAAAAACTTGCTGTGAAATTTACAAAATGACAAAATAACTCGAAGTCTCTTTCGATCTGCGTCGTCTCGAACTGTGTCAAGCTGGCCTGTCACAGCTCACAGCCCCRCATTTTCATTCACAGCTGCTCCACTTCTGTATAGAAGACAGTAATYAGATCACGCCAAATCTAAATCTAAAATTATCCACCGTTACTCACAGGACAATGATTCATTCACACATATACGGCGTGTTTCTGTCTAATGTATTATGCATGTAGGCTSTGTCTTTGGCCATGAGCAACCCCACAAGCCTTTCGTTCACCCAAATAAACAGGCCGACCAACAAACACAATGAATTACTCATGATTCATTAGCAATTAATGGCCCTCGTTCTCTGCTTTCATTTCCAATTAGGAGAGCTGTGGGGACTAAATATGTCTGTTGTGAGTAAGAGAATGAGCTTGCAGTCATGCTCCGTTTCGCCGTCTTGTAACTGTCTGTTTGTTGTTGATTTCATCTCTGCTGTGTGTTTGTGCACACTGACGATATATGCACTTCAAATTCAATTCAATTCAAAAATACTTTATTGAACCCAGAGGGAAATTAGGTACTTCACAATATATGAACTACTCAGGCACTACAACATACCTTGACAGCAAAACATCTTTGATTTTACATGTCGTTGAGAAATACTGTATCTTATGGGCTAAAGAGTTGTGTGAATGTTTGTGGGTTTGCACTGACAGCTGTGTGTTCCTCTTTGCCAGGGCAGCACCGCTCCCTCGGTCCACATCTATCGAAGGTGCGAAGCCTAAAGTTGGACAGCAGTGTCTGGAGCAATGAACTCGTTGAGGTATTTGTTTATTTATTTTTATAAATATTTGTAACTCGCGCAACATTACAGGAAAAAAAACATTTTAAAACCAAAGCCTGGAATAAAATGTAAGATGTTAAGCTGCCTGGTGTTTATCCACCCAATTGTTATGGCTTCTTCAAACCCCACCCAAAATAGCCAATCCGACCAATTATAAGGACAATTTTGTTTGTCTGCTCATAGTAAAATTTGAACATTAGAAAAAACATACATTTTCTTGGCTTGTCAAATGTTAATATCAAAATACAATCACTGTTTTCAAGTAGACGGATCAGTGCTGCTTTCGCAGTTTTGCTACGTTCCAACCCTCACCTATGGCCATGCACTTTGGGTAGTGACCAAAAGAACAAGATCGCGGKTACAGTCGAAATGAGTTTTCTCCACAGGGTAGCTGGACTCTCCCTTAGCGAGAGAGTGAGAAGTTATCCAGTAGAGACTCCGAGTAAAGCCACTGCTCCTCCACATCGAGAGGAGCCAGTTGAGGTGGTTCAGGCATCTGGTTAGGATGCCTCCCTAGGGAGGTGTTTCAGACATGTCCAACAGGGTGCAGACCCCAGGGAAGACCCAGAACACTCTGGAGAGACTGTGTCTCGGCTGGCCTGGGAACACGTTGGAGTCCTCCCAGAAGAGCTGGAATAGGTGGCTGGGGAAAGAGAAGTCTGGCCTCTCTGCTGCCCCCGTGACCCAACTTTGGATAAAGCAGAAGATAATGGATGGATGCTTTCAAATATCATTTCTTACTTATCTACCTCCTTTTTTATGTCACAGCTCTTCCTAGAAGTGGGGAACAAGAATGCGAACAGCTTTTGGGCGGCTAATCTTCCCACTGAGGAGGCGCTTCACAGCGCGGCGTCAGACGAGCAGCGAGCCACGTTCATCCGCAGGAAGTACAGGGAAAGGAAATACAGGAGGGTCTTGGAGGGTTTTCATGATGTAGAGCAGCTCAATCAGGTAGGCCTTTTTATAAAAGTAAGAGTGTTGCTTAAAAGTTTTCTGTGTGCTTTTTGGACCTTTTTTTGTTACTTTTTAAACTATTATATTATTAATTTTTATTAACAAATTAACATAGTTTTAGCATAATAGATGTAATTCTTCTAGTTTGCATGATCAGCAGTACAGTAAATTGTTTCTGATCATTTTTAAGAGCCTTCTTTGTTATTTTTTATCCATTAATTCATCTCACATATTGAAGTCCAAAGTGCTGCAGCTTTTTTCCAACATAGTATTCAAACCTCTTCTAATTTAGGTCTTTTCCATTTTATTTTATCAAGGTTAAACAGCACTAATGCACTCATTAACTGACAGACCTGCTTACATTTCAGATCAAACAAATCCACCAAAAAAAAATTGTATGGACAGTTCATAGCAGGGGTGTCAACTCGTTTTCACTGAGGGCCACATGAGTATTGTGGTGAACCTCAACTAGTAACTTTAACATTTCATTTTTTAACTTTGACGAAACATCATGTTCCTCTTGTCATTAATACATCTGAGCACCGCAAACAAACTACATCTCCTACAATGCATTGATTTTTTTTTGTCCCGCAAAATGACAGCGTGTCACCACTAGGTGGAGGTGCAGAGGTTCAAATGTAGCTGACAGCTGGCGAAATTCGCACTGTAAAATCTCCATTTCACTGCATTTTTGCCAGCTACCTTTGCTGAAGCCCAGTTGTAAATTGTCAGTGCTGGCTTRAAAGCAGCATACAATTTATTAAAAAACACATCATGCTTTTAAATCTTTCTTTTTCACATTTAAGTTATTCAGTTGGGGTCTATATAAAGTGGAACTGCAATGTTATGGAAAGTAGAATATGACCCAAACAGGATTTAGACTAAATTCAACTTTTCTCCTAGAGACTCCAAGTACACAACAAAATGGATTTAATGGTTAAAAATGGGGTTTTGTGTCCCCTTCAATACGTTAATACATCTTTGAAGCTCTCGCGGGCCACATAAAATGCAGTGGAGGGCTGCATTTGGCCAGCGGGCCTTGAGTTTAACAAGTGGTTTTTAGACTGAACATCAAAGTTGTCAAGTTGTGTTTTCATTTGATTGTCACTATCAGTTTTCAAAAGAAATATTTCTGTTTTTCTTGCGAAGCGCCACTATCTAATAACGAATCTGTTTTCTCTCCACCCTGACTGACACATAATCCACTTCCTGTCTCTGTTTGTGTACTGATCTCCTGCACCTCACATAACTTTTACAACTCCAGTTTGGCTGCAGTTTCACGAGCCACTAACTCTGCAGACTTTGGTGATGAAAAAGCTGCTTGTAAACAGCCTTTCTTTACTCCCCATCACTGCGGCTTCGCTATCTGCACTGATTCATGGATTGCGTGCATGCGTGTCAGATTGCAGGCAAGGCAGGCATCAAGCACACGGGGAACAGAAAACAGCTGAAAAAAATTATGCACCTGGATTGAAAAAGTGTTAACTTTTTAAAGCCTTCACTTGCCTTTCTTTTTCTCTGTCTAGTTACAGTAGTTCACTCTGCAACATTAGTTTCTGTAAGTGTCATTTGTGCCCCTATAAAATGGTACACTGTATACTCCATTAGCTGAACAAACTGAACCTGAAGAACTCTTTTCTGACCTTGTGACCAACAGTAACTCTGCTTTTTAAGCCTAAATATTGTATCTCAAATAGAAACATGCCGGTTCTGCAGCTGTACAGCATAGGCTTTATTGCTGCTGCAAAAAGGGGGTCCCTGCTTTCTGGCCTGATTTTAAAAAGCAGGTCTTCAACAAACAAAGCAATGAAGAAGTTTCCACCTTCTTCAGCATTTAGGCTGTGTCCCAATTCATGGGTCGCAAATGACGTAGAGCACATTTGTCATCCACTTACATCACAGCCGCATTCCGTAGGCTGTCCCAATTTGAAGGCGTCTACTCAAGCGGCCCACAAAGCACCAAAAACATAGGCTGCATCTGAGTATCCTACATGGCCAGCAAATTAAACAGGAAAACAAAGACAGCAGAGTTTTTATTTAACTTGATGACAGAGTTTGTGTATAGGTGTGTCTATACATGTGTATATATACAGTATATACGTATTATTGATAGCAGGATTTCTGCT